ACACATCTAACACACACTGCTAACACACACTCTAACACTCACTCGAACACAAAACGCTATACACCACGCTAACACAATCGCGGACACACACTCTGAACACAACTCTAAGATCACACTCTAACACAATACTTCTGACCACAATCTAACACACACCTACTCAATCCTGGGACACTCACGCATAACTCCCACACTACACACCACCTCGAAACACACTCTAAACAAAACGTCTAAGTACACTGTCTAAACACACAGTTCGAACACACCTCTAACACTCCTCTAACACTCACTCGAACACCAAACTCAGAACACACACGCTAACACACTCTCGAACACACACTCTAACACACACGCTAACACAAACGCTAAGACACATCTAACACACACTCTTAACCACACTCTGAACACACACGCTAACACAAACTAGGCAGAAACGTATAAGTGAAATCCATCTCACCCTCAAACACTTTTCTTTTCTTCTTCGATCACGAGTTTTCCTGTGTTTTAGTTTTAAATAAATACAATAAGTGAGAATAGTGTAAATATACCACTGACTAAGCTAAGCTGTAGCAACCACATCATTTAAGTTAATTAAATTAGAATAATAAATACGGGGTGGGAGTTTAAAAGTCTTCACTTCTTCTAACTCCTTTTCGAGCTGACTTTTTGTTAATAAAACAGCATACTGTATATGTATTGTGTTGGGTTTTTTGTTTTTTATTCTGTTGTTTTGTTGTTGTTCTTTATTCTTGTCTGCTGTGGGGAAGCTGGCCCGAGTGTCAAAGTGAGACAGCAGAAGTCACATTCAAAGTTGCCAAAAGATTTATTTTGCACAACAAGCAATCCTGTCCCTTGGGTGTGACTCCCCCTGACGAGGTTCACATGAGTTTGCCTACAAAACAAAATGGCTGTCCGAGACACACCCTCTTCAACAGGTAATACATGCAATAAAAATGGCATTAAAAGGGACAAAGGAACCTGCTTTGTCACATCTGCCATGGCTCAAAATAAAAGTGTTAATTCATTCATTTTTTATTCATATACTGTATGCATGAAACAAACCAGTGGCACCGCCACCGTGGGGAGAAGAGAATTGAGCACAATTTGTAAACACTGACAAAAGCAGGATTGGTCAACATCCTTCTCGAGTTGAATCCAAGGCAATCAAACATTGCTCATAATGGTCACTCACAATTTTGCCATTTCAAAAAAAAAAAGTGTGTTCAGATCAGTGAAGTACAGAACAGTGTCTACAGTCTTCAAACATGTAGCAGCAGAGGGCAGTAATATCCTGCACACAGCTCCACACAATCCACAGCTCTAACCCTAACCCAGACCAAGAGGAACAGCACAAAGCACAGAATCTTTACACAAAGAGAACTTCTGGTGTGCGGAAAAAAACTAGAGCGTGCACTCAATGGGTCCCATCTCCAGAAAAAAACTTCAATCCGTCCAGTCATTTTTGCATAATCCTGTCAACCGGCAAACAGACACACGGTGACAATCACACTGCCTCTGTGCAGGATAATTATGTTGGCAAGGAGAGTGTATATGTTTCAGTGTATTGTATCTCCTGCAGTTATCACATTCATTTACAAACATTCATCAATGTTGGATCTTTTTAGTCAGTCCCCCATCACTGGCTGTAAGGGGCTGATTCTGTATAAGGCAGAAAACACATAAAAGCATCTCAGGTTTAAGGCTTTTAATTAGCCACAAATATCCAAGTATATAAACTGACTCTCTTTATAAGGCTTAGCAGGTTCACTATTCGTATCCATGATGTAGTAACTTATTGCAGTGATTTGTATAAAATAACATCAGTTAAAGTGAGAACAACTAAACAATGACAAAATATTTACTGTAAATTATTTTGTATAAATTCCAACCCTTTAATGCATGCTAGTTCTTTAAACATTATTTTATAGTTTGTGTTCCTAAAAAGACATAAGATACAAACCTATGCATTGCTATAGTTAAACATTTTACTGTTCATTCTGCTCGTTTTAAAGAGTATATCCTTTACCAAAAGTGTCCTGCTAATGCAAAAAGAACAAAAAAAGTATTATAATTTATACGTTTCTTGTTGCATTGGATGACTGAGCTGTCCATGGTAGCATTTGCAGACCGCAGATGCCACCAGCAGAGGGAGCCATTGTCCTAACATCATATGTGCATGTGGAAACGTGTAACCTTCCTCAAATGTCCGAGATAAAATGTAGAAGTATTTTTGGAATAACCACGGCTCGTGCATGCGAGATGAGCACGCGCACCTACCTCTTGTTGCTAGGTGGCGTTGCTAAGGCCTGTGCATCTTTTGAATCACTGCATCCGTGCAAAACTTTGGCTGAGACACAAACTCATTTTGTCAAACTTTACTCGACGATTTCTTCAAACAGGAGACATCACTGCAGACCATTTCCACCCAGACTGCTGCTGACCCACTCCTGACCACAACTACAAGACTTTTCTGAGGAAAAAACGTGAGCTTTTCCACTTTCCCGGTTCACCTTAGTCCCTATGGGTTTGGCCTGTGTTACTCACACACAGACTGTAGCAAAATATAGCAACAACAGAAAACAAAGATCATTTTGATCCGTGTCTAAAGCAGGTTTACAGAGAGATTAGGCTGAGTATATTCATCATAATAAGTGTTACATGAAAAGTCCTCAAGCTACATGAAAGCTGTGCCTTAAACATGTTGAGGTTGAGTCTAAAGTGACAAACCCACATGACAGACAGGTTTGTGCTTCATCTAAACGTCTTCATCAGCCGCAGCAGTGATGTATCTACTGTTGTCTCTGAGAATATTTCAGGCAGTTCAATCAAACAAATATTCTGCACATGTAGATTATGATCCATGTGAATTTGAACAAGTCTGTTCTTGAGAAGATGTACTCAGCCTGGCAGACCTGCCGTATTCAGTCCAAATGGTTCTTGAACATCTACAAGCGTGACTTTCAAACCACAAACAAAGAACTCTGCAAATACATTCTTCTAACTGGTCCTCGCTCTTACACACTTTGGTTCTATCACTAGTTTTCACACGTCTGTGTTTTTGACTTCACAAAAGTGAATAAGACCATCCTCTTTCAGCCAATCAGCACAAAAGCATCAAATAACCACTGTTATGGTCAGTTCCCGGCACCGGACCATTCTAATCATTTGGTCGATACATGTGCCTTGTTTCCCAGCATTTAGAGATGTATTACACAAAGACTGCTTGTCTGCGGTTCTCTTTCTCATAGCCTTGGCCACCATCTGCAGGTGCGTTATCTCAAAAGTACTCACGGAGTGTGCTTTCTTATCATCTCGAAGGTCTTTTGGTGCGCTTAATGTATCTCTCCCAAACTTTCCCGTCTGCAGCTGCGTATGACTCATCTCTCTTGTGACGAATGTTCATTGTTCTGTCTGACACACCTCCAGTATAAGATTATCAACACGCTGGTTGAGGGGAACAGAGAGACAGGGTATCATTGGACGCCGTTTCTGTCTGTCTCTTTCTGCGCAGAAAATGTCATTTTTGTACTCATCACTTCTGTAAATAAACTGCACAAGGCAAGTTCTGTTTCCTCTCGGATTTATTTCATTTGAAGCATCAGAATTTCCAGAACACCACTCACAGAGCACTTTCTATACAAAGATGAAATGTTTACTAATCATTGACTTTGAACAGACTTTATCTGTTGAGACAAACTAAATGTTACATTTATAACAAAAGAAAACACATCTATTTGAAACTTGAAGACATGTCATTCTTCCAAAGACCTGATCCACCTGTATCCACGATCTTTACTCTAATCAACTGATATGAACCATGATGCAACATTGTCCTGGTCCAAAACAGACCTGCAGTGGTTTTTAGATCCATCCACGCTGGTATCCTGAACCTCTGGCACAAACATGTAACTCCGCCCCTTCTGTGTGAAAGCTCCTGTCTCAGTCCTGTAATAGTCTGATGTCATAGTAGCACTGAGACAGCGAGCTCAGATTCAGATTCAGATTCATTTATTTGCCATTTGCAGTAAAACCACATTGGAAAAACTGTGCAAGACTACCCCGGTGTGCACCAGACAGAGAAGACGACACACACCAGAACTCTTGCCACGGCGCCATCTTTACGGCGCCATGCGACAAACAGTAGAATAAACAACAGAGAGCAATAACATACAGTTTCACAGACAGTTGGATAGACACATTGTGCTTTGTATAAACCACGGGGTTTTTTTCGGGATGAGCACCTCCGACTGCCGGCCCAATGTGGCTGTCAGAGGGGGGCGGGGTCAGGGAGGGGGTGAGTCGGAAACACAATGAGGAGTGGAGGGGAGGGAGGGAGCAAGATGGATAGGTAGAGGGAGGCGGGGGTGAGGGATCCTTGCTGGAGACTGAAATAGTGTGAGTTGTTGTAGATGGGGACCTTGTTATTATGGCCTTGGCCCGAGGAATGTGAGATAAGAGTGGAGAGAAGACACAGCAGGATAAAAACACATCGCCTGAGGGGGACAATATTAAATGCAATGTAGCGGTCAAAAGCAGGCAGATATTCTATTAAATCCAATTAATCCGAATTGCGGCGCCCTCAGACCTCCGTACACAGGGGCAAATCCAAGCCGGGTCAGAGAGTTCAAGCCTGACACACAATGTCATTCAATCTCATCTCCAATGTTTTATTCCCTTCGAGTGAACGAGCTGCGAGATCTTTTATCAACTGTTCCACCAAAACCACTCTCCTTTGTCCAGACACGGCACTCTCAACCACGACTCGGCTAAGCTCCTTGTACATCCCATCAATTTTGTCGGCCAGCAGGTCGTGAATCTTGCGAACTGCCATGCCTCCATACACCTGCTCGTGTGATCGGTGATTGACAGTGAGGCAGAGCAGATATTGGATCAATACATTTTTAATTGGTTTAAACATTTCCCAAAACACGATTCATGGCCACAAATAATGCATCATGTTTCCTCTTTATCTCACGTCAACTTCAAATAATCAGTGATGTCACATGTTCCTCCTCCACAGACCCTTTGCTCCTCCTCCATCAGGCCTCCTCACCTCCTGCGGAGGACTCCATCAGGCCTCCACACCTCCTGCTGAGGACTCCATCAGGCCTCCACACCTCCTGCTGAGGACTCCATCAGGTCTCCACACCTCCTGCTGTGGACTCCATCAGGCCTCCACACCTCCTGCTGTGGACTCCATCAGGCCTCCTCACCTCCTGCGGAGGACTCCATCAGGTCTCCTCACCTCCTGCTGAGGACTCCATCAGGTCTCCTCACCTCCTGCTGAGGACTCCATCAGGCCTCCACACCTCCTGCTGAGGACTCCATCAGGTCTCCTCACCTCCTGCTGAGGACTCCATCAGGTCTCCACACCTCCTGCTGAGGACTCTGCTTTTAAGCTAAGTCTCTCGCTCACACGATGCCTGGCAGCTCTGCCAAGTTTCCTCGTTCTGGGAGGATCTCTCTCTACTCTTCTTCTTCTCTCCTCCCTCGCCCTTCTGCTCCTCCTCCTCCTACGCCTTCCTCTGTACCTCCTGCTGCTCCGCGTCCTTCTGCTCCTCCTGCTAAGCGCTCTAAGCTTTCCTCTGCCTCTTCTCGTAAGCAACGTAAGCTTACCTCTGTTCCTCTCGCTTGGCGCTCCTCTGCTCCTCCTGCTTGGCGCTTCTCTGCTCCTCCTACTTGGCGCTTAGCTGGTCCTCCAGCTAAGTCTTCCTCTGCTCCTCCTGCTCCTCCTGCTAACCCTTGCTCTGCTCCTCCTGCTCCGCGCCCCTCTGCTCCTCTTGCTCCTCCTGCTAAGCGCCCTAAGCTTTCCTCTGCTCCTTCTGCTCCCCGCCCCTATGCTCCTCCTGCTAAGCTTTTCTCTGCTCCTTCTACTTGGTGCCCTTCTGCTCCTCCTGCCAAGTCTTCCTCTGTTCCTCCTGCCTCCTGCTCCTCTGCTCCTCCTGCTCAGCCCTCTGCTCCTCTTCCTCCCCCTGAGTCTCCTCCTCACTTTCGTAAGTGCAAACGAAAGTCTTCTCCTCCTCGTGCTCCTCCTGCTGACGCTGCTAGCCTGTTACGCGTTAAACTAGCCCCTGTTGTTTCGCAGCCGGAGCCTGCCCCGCTGTTCCCTGGACCGGTCCCGGACTGGGTGGTGGAGATGGAGGCGTACCTGAAGGAGCGGGAGCTGCCCTGGAAGGAGCAGAGAAGGTCATGTGAGCCGCAGAGGCCTATTCCACCGATAACACACAAGTACTCCTTCTATTTTTAAGAACTGATCCTTTCTGTCTTTTGTTTCTTTGGAGGAGCAGAAGCAGAGCTGGGATCCCCAGGAGCTGTGTCTCGGTGAAGGGTTAAGTATCACTTTGTAAATGGTTTGTATATTTTTGGATCCTTGTTTGATCCCCTTTGAAAAAAACAAAAAAACAAAAAAAATATTTTAACACGTTCAGTTTGTTGTTGTTGCCGTTGCACATGTTTTGGATCCTTGTTTGATCCCCTTTGAAAAAGTGTTATTCTAAGATTGTGTGTGGATTGTTGTGTGGTGCATAGCTTCTGGTGCAGGTGTCTTTGCTGTTCAGGGAAACAAGGTGAGTTTTGATGAATGACTTACTTTACTTTAAGGAATCACTCGTTTATTAATTGTTTCTTTTAGTTTTTTTAGACAGAAAGGAGAAAGTGTAAAAGATTGAAAATTGCTCAAAGAATATACAGCACAGGTACAGAGGTCTATTGTATCTGCACATTGTATCTGTCCAGGGAATGAATTTAATTTGTTTTGTTCCCGTGAAGTCAGAGAGTCGAGAGTGGGGAGGATGAGGAGGAGGAGGAGGAAGAGGAGGAGGAGGAGGAGGAGGAAGAGGAGGAGGAGGAGGAGGAGGCTAATATCCTTGTTTTCATTTCAAACACAGGTAAATCATCATATGCACTGTTTCCTTTGTCTCTGCTCCCACTTCATAACAAGAGAACCATCTTTCACTTCTTCCTAACTGCCAATGTGTTGAATACAAACCACTTTTATGCAGACCACTGTCACTCAAACCCCAGGGTTCGCCCACAACTTGTTATGTCTGAATGAGGGGAAAGCAAAGGTGATTGTGTTTGGCAACCAGCAGGTGGCAGCAGCTGTCAATGGAATCCACGCTAAAACAAATCATGAACTGTATCAGCTAAAGGCTTGCAGGAAGACAGTCAGAGGTTTGCAGCCACAGCAAACTTCTCAAGTCCCTCTCAGCCGTTTTAAAGGTTCATGTTTTTATCTTTCATTTCTATCTGTATGTTACCCCAGAGCTCTTTATCAGTTCCCATTTGCCCCTTACCTGCAATAGGTCCTGCATGCCCTGAACATGATCACCTGGAGAGGCTGGAACCATGTGTCTCTGTCAAACTAAAGCCCATGATGTAAAGGATGAGGTAATGTGTTTTTCTTTTTTAAGTGCATGCAATGTATTTAGCCCTTTTACCAATATATACCATCCTTCCATAGATGGAATGAGGGGAGGAAATCAAGCTGGGTCCACTTTGGGAGAGTGTTCTTTCTCTCCTCACACTCCTCATGTCCAAATACATGTGAAAGTCAGGTCATCTCTAGGGCCAATCAATCTCTAGTGTTGTGCAGAAAAGATGTCTAACCTGCATTATCTCTTTGTAGCTCGAATCGACATGAACTTAACAATCTAAAGCCACAAATGTGGCAAAGATGTGCTATGCTATGCAAAAGATTTCAAAAGGTAAGTTCACAATTGTTTATCAAATTTGGAATGAAATTGTAAAATGAGGGACTTTTTAGGAAGATATAAAATATCTGGTCTTATGGAATTGAAAGTGAAAGTGAATGTGGAGCAACTCTAGTGGAGCAACACTCGCAGTCCCAGATGGAGACACTCCAACGATAAAGGAGAGAAGCCTTTACCAGAGAGCAGGTGTCTTATGTGGAACAAACATGTTAATTCAGCTGATATAGTTGTGCCAAATGCTGTGGAATGCACTGAATGAACTATTTTCTCTCAACAGAGGCACTCAACAAAACCCTGGCACCAAAGTCCACCCCCTCCAGAAGACCAGAGGCTGAAGCTGTCTTCAGAAAGTGAAAGAACATCTGAGTAGGATCAATGTACGCAAAAGGCCGTATGCAGACTAAAGACAAGGTGTGTACTGAAAGGTTGTGCTGATGAACTCTCTGAAGTCTTCACATTGACATGTTTAACTCATCTCTGCAGCTGTGCTCCCAAAGCACCTCAAAGACACCATCATCATTCCAGCACCAAAGAAGTCCCCACCCTCCAGCTTCAAGGACTCTGCTGCTATCTGCATCAGTATTGCTGATGTCACAGCAGTGGGGGACTCCTCAGCCACAGAGACAAGGCAAACTGCAGGAGTGAGGAGTCTGTCCATGTGCTGCACATAGAACCATCTCTCTGTAAATGTGGACAAGACAAAAGACCTTGTTTTGGACTTTTAAAGAGTGCAGCTCCACCATGCTCCTGTAACCATCAACAGTTTCCTGTGGAGAGGGGGACCAGCGCTAAGTTCCTGATGTGCACACACACGACCTGTCCTGGACCATGCACACTACATCACTGGTCCACAAAAGTCATCCGCCTCTGGGCTTTCGGCGCAAGTTGAGAAGCGTCAGAGTCCCAGTCTCGGTTATGTGCAACTTGTAGAGAGAGACTGGAGAGCATCCTGAGCAGCTCCATCACTGTGTAGCACGGTGCCAGCTCTGCCACCTGCTGCAGGAGCCTCCAGCGCTTTGTGAGAGAAACTGAGAAGATCTGTGGAGCCTCTCTCCTGCATTAGAACACTCCTGTCTCACTCCCAAAGCCCTGAGAATGACCTGGGATCCTACGCACCCACAACAGCCCCTCCAAGTAATGCCTTCAGGAGGAGACTGGGAAATCCACGGGACAGGTCCAGTCGACTGAAGAAGCCTTTTATCCACCAGGCCATCAGGAAGCTGAACTCTCTTCTTTACTTGCCCTCCCTGTGCTCCCACCCCTCACTCCTCACCCCCACTCTATCATCAAGGATGACAAACTTGACAATAAATCTTTGAGTCTCTTAATACTTGTATTTTTGTCTTCATATCAGTGTTTAGGTCAGTGTTTTAGATCAGAAAACATCCATATTTGAACAGAAAATAACATTGAGCATACATTATCCCACCCTAATCATAAAACACACTTTTACCTTCCAACATTAGAGAAAAGAGCGGGAAAGCCTTTGTCATTGTCAATATAACAGTTTACAATACATCAGAGTCTGTAAAACTGTCAGTTGCCATTTATTTGGGTCTATGCATGAACCTGCTCTCGTTTGGGAAGCTGTAAAAATAACATCATATGAGCTTGAAAATCTAAAGAGACACATTTCAAACACACGAAGGAGAGGTTACAGGCCATAATCAAGAAGCTTTTGAGTCCCTTGTTCACAGAAGAACCTTGTTTTTATCTATTTTAATAAACCATAAATGTTGTATTTTTGAACTGTATATAGTTATTATTATAAAGTACAAGCGCTTGAAGATGAAAGAAGCTGGCTTCTTTCATCTTTATCTGTATTTCAACCATGTCTCAGGTGCTTTCTTCTCTCTGTGTAAACAAGTCAGAGTTTTACTGTAGGTACATTATTTTACATTTAGATTAAGACAAATTGGAAAAGGGTCAATAATGGTGAAGATAAATCCTTGTTTTATGTTTAACCTTAGTACTTCTCTTCTGATAAGTGGAACTATCAACATGAACTATTTCTCAACAATAGGAAAGAACAAATTATTTAAAACAAGAATAGACCAGACACATCCTAATCAAATGTTTATTAAAGTTAGTACTTTAAAAAAACCCACAGGTTTTCCTGGACATACAAGTCACGTCCTCTGGATACATATATGGGGGTTTAATTGTTTCATTGTCATAATTCTATGGTATTTGAAAGGGCAAATCCGATCTCATTAATGAAGTTATATATATTATTTGTGCTACTATTATTATTGCTATACTGTTCTATTATAATTAGTATATTTATTATTATTGTACAATAATATGATGTGTCTATATTAGTGCATTTATGGGGTTGTTATGGTATTGTTATGGATGTCATTATTATTTATAATTATCGAAATTGTTATTTCTCTTATAGGCATCATTACATCACGATCCATAATTTATTACTGGAAAGGAAATAAATGAATCCTGGTTATTGTTTTGGTGCTGACGGTAGCCAGAGAATATAATTTGAGCATGTTCACAGAACATGCTCAAATCCAGCAGCAGAGCCGGGGGGCTCTGCTGCTGGAGGAACCCTCTGGCAAAAGACCCCACTGTCTCCTTTTAATGCACAGAATAGGACACGCCCAGATCTGCTGTTCACAGACTGCTCCCTCTGGAGGCAGATCTGTGGACGCAGAGACTCCCTTTGCAAATAACACACATTCAAAATAAAAGCTTGCTCCCATCAGCACCAATGATCAAATTTAACTCACAAATATCACTAGTAATTATTATATTTAATATTAAATATACAATATTTTATAATTTTATAATAGTTTGTGAAAATGGGTATGTTTACCTCTGGGTACTTGGACATTGGCTGCGGGGTACCACAGGGATCGGTTTTAGGTCCAAAATTATTCAATTTGTACATCAATTATATATTTAGTGTCTCCAAGTTACTGAAACTAGTTATATTTGCAGTTGACACCAATGTTTTTTATTCAAATGACATTTATGTTAATTTAGTGTATATACCATTAACATGGAATTAGCCAAATTAAAGACATGGATGGACTTTAACAAATTATCCATAAACTTAAACAAAACAAAGATTATGTTTTTCAGTAAATACAAAAGCAACATAGTTATACAAACACATGGGGTGGCTTTAGACACCGTAACAGAGATGAAATTCTTAGGAGTTACTATTGACAACACATTAAGCTGGAAACGACACATAAAACACATACAAGGCAAAGTCTCCAAAAGCATCTCGATCATTAATAAATCAAAATTCTTCCTAAATCATAAAGCATTACATTTATTATATTGTTCACTAGTTTTGCCATATTTAACATTCTGTGTAGAGGTTTGGGGCAATAACTACAAATGCTCAATTCATCCCCTGGTTGTATTTCAGAAACGCGCCATAAGAACAATTCATAAGGCAGGATATCTAGATCACACTCATACTTTATTTCTGCAGTCTAAAATAATCAAACTCACTGATCTAGTAGATTTTTATACAGCTCAACTTTTATTTAAAGCTAACAAAATGGTTTTGCCTTCAAATTTCCAGAAACACTTTACTCACAGAGAAGGGTGTTATAATCTGAGGGGGTGTGGGAACTTTAAAATACATGCAGTGAGAACCACCAGGAATAGTTTGTGTGTATCTCTGTGTGTGTCTGTGTGTCTCTGTGTGTGTCTGTGTGTGTCTGTGTGTATCTGTGTGTATCTGCGTGTCTCTGTGTGTGTCTGTGTGTGTCTGTGTGTGTGTCTGTGTGTGTCTGTGTGTATCTGTGTGTCTCTGTGTGTGTCTGTGTGTATCTGTGTGTGTGTCTGTGTGTGTCTGTGTGTCTCTGTGTGTGTCTGTGTGTCTCTGTGTGTGTGTCTGTGTGTGTGTCTGTGTGTGTGTCTGTGTGTGTGTCTGTGTGTGTCTGTGTGTGTGTCTGTGTGTATCTGTGTATGTCTGTCTGTGTCTGTGTGCGTCTGTGTATCTCTGTGTGTGTCTGTGTGTGTCTGTGTATCTCTGTGTGTGTCTGTGTGTCTCTGTGTGTGTCTGTGTGTGTCTGTGTGTGTCTGTGAGTGTCTGTGTATCTCTGTGTGTGTCTGTGTGTGTGTCTGTGTGTGTGTCTGTGTGTGTGTGTGTCTGTGTGTATCTGTGTGTCTCTGTGTGTGTCTGTGTTTGTCTGTGTGTGTCTGTGTGTGTCTGTGTGTCTCTGTGTGTGTCTCTGTGTGTGTGTCTGTGTGTGTGTCTGTGTGTGTGTCTGTGTGTCTGTGTGTATCTGTGTGTCTCTGTGTGTATCTGTGTGTCTCTGTGTGTGTCTGTGTGTGTCTGTGTGTGTGTCTGTGTGTGTGTCTGTGTATCTCTGTGTGTGTCTGTGTGTGTCTATGTGTGCACCCACAACAGCCCCTCAAAGTAATGCCTTCAGGAGGAGACTGGGAAATCCACGGGACAGGTCCAGTCGACTGAAGAAGCCTTTTATCCACCAGGCCATCAGGAAGCTGAACTCCCTTCTTTACTTGCCCTCCCTGTGCTCCCACCCCTCACTCCTCACCCCCACTCTATCATCAAGGATGACAAACTTGACAATAAATCTTTGAGTCTCTTAATACTTGTATGTTTTTCCTCACGTCAGTGTTTAGGTCAGTATTGCCAATAAAACATGGGTTTAAATACATAAGAGTCTTTTTGTTTAATCACAAATATCTTAAATGACAAAATAAGGGGATATTACCGGCCTCAAATGTTACCAAAATTACATTTAAAGTCCTAATTAAGGCTTATTTTAGACATTTTACTTTTCACTATATCCCGTTCCCGTAATCCATGCTTCTGATGAACGGGCACGTACAACAGTCTCGTCACATATCACCAGAATGATTGACAATAAGGAGGACCAAATCCTCTATTATACCTTTAACCAATCACAAATATTGTATTGTAATTTTGTCATGCAAGAATTACCAGTTCTGGTGGCGCTATTGCATCTTTTTTTTAGTCCCAGGAAAAAAACCTCCAAAAACATAATGTTTTTGCTGGAACTGATCTTTAGGCAGAACTTGGCTACTTTTCTTGCACGTTCAGGGGTCAAAATGAGCAGGGTTTAAATAAGGATTTGTTTTTTTTAAAGGCCTCAAGCAAAAACAATATAGGTTTCCATGGCACGAGATACATCATTTTAAAGCGTTTGAGTAGACGCAGACAACCGTTGCATTTTGGTGAGGCACGGTCACTGACGTGTCCGTCACGTACCTCCACCTCTTGGTTTCACTATTGTGAAAGTACAGTAATAGGCCCTTAGACCAGTTTGGCACTCGGGCCTGATGACATTTTTCAAAGTGTATTTCAAAATCTCAATCTTAAAAGTTTACATCAGCAGCCTAAAATGTAAACATTGTTTTAAAATAATATTCATTTCTTACCATGGGACACAGTACTGTAATTATTTTTTCGATTATAATAGATTTATATTTATTTCGCGCAGTAAGATTTACTGGAGGAGAAAAGTTAAAGGAATGAGAATGTGCCTCAAGGATATATATTAATTCACGACTAAAGTCTAAACAATTTAAGTCTCTTCTCAGTTTAAAAATTACCTTAGATTAACTTTAACAAACACTTTCCCATTCAAATGAATATATGTATTAAATTGAAAACTAAAGCCATGGTGCAGATTTTCTTGAATCAAGGAATTGAGTTAATTTTGACCAATCAGGAGGCTGTGGCGTGAACATGCAGGGGTCTAACCATTGCTTGAGATTCACAGATTCCCCCTCTTTAATTCTCCTTTTGACCCCTTTAGCCTGTTGGTTAACAGGTGTGGATAGTCTGTAGAACGCAGAGTATCTGATTGACAGGTGTGGATTGTCTGCGTTCTATACAAATAATATACAGAGAAAATCTAAACTCACTTACAAATTATCAAATCAATAATCTAATCTAATCTAATCTTTGTGAGCTCAATTCTAAACTGAAGTTTCTAGACAAAATGAAAACCTCTTTTGATTGCAGTAATCAAGTTTATTTTGTGAATTAATCAGAGATAAGAGGTTATACTTCAGATGTGAGAAAGTGTACATAAACTGATTGACAAACTGAGTAGACACGGTTACTGGCAGTAGAAATCCATGTCCTAGAACAGGATAAAGAAAATAGTTTATCATAAATATAAGAATCTTTGATTAGTTTGAAATACTCACAGTTGTGGGCATCTTAACCGTGTCTTTTGCAAACGTCAGAGTCTCATTGACCACTGTTGCTGGAAAATACCCAACAATTCCCATCTGATCAACATACCTCTCACTATACACCTGAAAGATAGATAGATTAAATATTTGTTATTATTTTCATGCCACAACTAGTTTTTATAAATAGTCTCAAAATGTTTGGGGCACGGTAAGCACATACACTCCCAGACCAGAAGACTCCAGCGCCCTCTTCTGGCACAAGTTTGGAATACACATAAACCTTCTGCTCCTTTCTTAGGTTAATAAATCTGCAATCTGGAGCGATGAAGTCATCCAAGGCAGTGGCCAGAGACAGGACAGCTAAAGCACATAAGTGAAAACCAAAATAAATACGAGGTGGAAGGGGAAACAATTACATATTTACTTACTAGAGCATTCTTGATCTCCACAAAACTTGTGGTCTCCCAGTTTATCCATCTGAACAGCCTTTGGCGTCTGATGAAGTAGTCCAAAAATAAGACAAAGTACAAGTATGTACATCCTTATTGAGTCCAATGTATGTGTACACAATTTAAGCAGTTTTTAAGTCCCACGTTTAGGTCGCAGACAGAAAGAGCTCCAAAATGTAAAAACTATGTCAAAGCCAAAGAAGCGATGGGTTGAGCCTCTCCAACTATCCAATCACTGCTCACTACAGCTCTCTCCATAAATATTTATTTCCCACAAGGGATTGGGCAGAGAAATAACGTGCACAAGAACACAACTTTTGGGAAACACAACACAATTCTGTGGGCTCATGTGAAAGGCATCATGCTATGAGTGTGAAGTCTCATTAAGAGTCCCATTTTAAACAGGTTTTAGCTCTACTTTAGACCGAGAAAGGTTCCCTTATTAGGCTTGGGCTTGATATGGCCATAAAGGCCAGACCTTTATAAATGGTGGCTCTTGGGACGTAAATTTATTTAATCTGTTATAGTAGTAATTAGTAGTAGTAGTAATCTTTATTTATATACCGCCTTTTCACTGCACATCGGAGTCTCAAAGCGGTTTACAATTGTGATTTTTGGGAGCAGGGTCGCCAGTACAGGAGGCACATGCTAGACCTATTGTACATATTTTTAGTGGTAGGGGAAACCGGAGCACCCGGAGGAAACCTACACAGACACGGGGAGAACATGCAAACTCCACTCAGAACTGTTCAGTTATACTTAACTGAACAGTTCAGAATGGAAACAATAATAATAAAAAATAATAAATCGTACTTTGATAGCACTTTTTACACACTGTAGTTATTACTACTTACAGTACTTTAATTAACAATGGCAAATACAGTGGACTCCTGTTATGAGCGTCAATGTTTGGTAGATTGTAGTAGAATAAACGGTAGAAAAATACCGTTATTTCCAACATAAAGGCATCAATAATTAAGATTCTAAAATCATTTTAGGCTTGATTTGTGGTTACAGATCTTTATAGATGCATGTGTAGTCTGTAAGTTTGATGGGCTAGTTTTACTTTCATCATTTGTGTTTGAGTCCATTGTTTGCATGGGTTTCCTCGGGGTGCTCCAGTTTCCTCAGGGTGCTCCGGTTTCCTCCAGGTGCTCCACTAAAAACCTGTTTAATAGGTGTGAATGTATTGTAAGATGACTCACTTGTTTACATAATCAGAGGGCCATAGCACTGAAACAATAATAAAGTCATTGAACTTTGATCAGTAGAAACGGGTGCACGCACATATGACACATTGCTGTGCTTTGTTACATCAGTTTGACAGTTTACTTCGGTTCATATTTGAGTAAACAATGCGATCATCCTCATTTTGGCTGATGCAAAGCTCTGTAAAACCATAATGTAAAACTCAGACTGCCACGATGTTTGATTGACAAATCTGGATCACTGGATGGGCGGCGCGAAGAAATTACACACATTGTCTACTCCCCGCCCATGCCACTCGCCCAGTGACCCACCACAAGCGCTTCTCCTGGCAGTGCTGTGTGACGTCCGCCCACTCTAAACTCAAAAAGCCTCCGGGACTCTCGCCTGTGTTATTGTTCGGATTGAAGTGAAGGGGGTCGATTCTGCTTTGTTTTTTAGCTCTGGGGGGCGTACAAAACTGACAGCAAGCTAACTCAACAATAAAGCTGCCGTGCGCTGGAAAACATATATTTATTGAATTGATTTTTCGCGGTAAAAGTTCGGACGGGACCAGAAGTAGCGTGAGTTAGCTGCTGCGAATGGATGCGCTGGTTTCTGACTTATTTGGCTCAGGAAATGAAACCATCTCTCGACCACAACTTTCCGCCTGCTGTGGTGGAAAGCAGGGGCTCGGACTCGGGTTAGCGTCTAAGAAAGCGAATGCAAAAGCGAACAAGAAAGCAAGGGCGCGATTCTCCCGCAACAACTACAGACCGAGCCATAATGCCCCGTATCTACCACCAGAGGTAAGCAGTCCCCCGTGCTAGCTACACAACAAACAACATGCTAGCATAACATACATACTCGCATCAACTCTTGGAAATTATTAAAAGTTTGCTTATAAGATTTTGTTATTTCCGGGGTCCAGCTGTCCATTCGATATAAAAAATAAAAATAAATAAATAAATAGATATAACCTGCTCTCAACTGACACGTAGCAAGTTGGTTTGAACTGTGTCAGTGATAATAATAAACATGGACGTGAACTATAGCTGCCATTCTGACGCCATAAAGCTGACTCGACATAGATTGTTCAGCCAGCTCATGGATCTATTATGAATACAGGTCGGCTAGACATTAGTTCGGTTATCTTTGAGCCATATAGGCAGCTGTGTTTGTAAATATACTCTGAAAGGGGGCGGGGAGCGTCTGGTGACCTCTTCCAGTGAAAACTAGTAACAACATAGTAACAGCGCTGTTTGGACATGGACATATGAGTGCACAATGATGTCAAAGTGTCCTTTGGCAGATCTATGTCAGATTCAGATCGGTCTTTTGAAGTCTACCCCGAGGACATGTCTGGACATAATCCATGGGGGGTGCTGCGCTGCTATTACATCAGAAATGGAAGTTCATTGGAGAGAATACAGAAGTTTATGTTAGATGAGATATATGATTAAAGAACCGATAGTTATCCCACTGTGGGGAGATTCTGGTGTTGCAGTGCACATACAGGGCAGTAGTAAGAGATAAGTAGCTGTGAATGCTTCTTACATAGTTATAAATGCTTCATAAACAGAGCAATACGTGTGTATATGTATGTGTATAAAGTTAAAAACACTACCTGTAGATAAGACACAGATACAGATACCTGTAGAGTCATTCTGAAATTACATTATTGCACATGATCGCAGTATTTACTATACATATTTTGAGATTTCATAACACTTTGAAGCAACTTTTGTTAAAGTTAAACTCATCATTCTATCAATGTGCAGAAGCCAGTACTTTTCCCTTGTTTTGTCTATCTGAAGGCCAAGCTACATGGCACCGTGGCAGCTGCTGATTGGAGGTCTCCATGCCTCCGCTCTGTATAATACACTTGCATTCTGTTGTATCTGTGTTCGTGTTGTTCGTGCTGTCTCTACCATCGACAATAAAACATGTCTTCTGTCTGAATGAAAGACGCGATCCCAGACTATGTCATCTTCTTCACATATATACACTATATATAATTTGTAAAGACCATAGGCTCCAAGGTTGTCAAAAGTATTCAAAAGCAGATGTTAAAACGTATTCATAGAATGTAAACTATATCTAGTATTGAAAAGTATGGAAAGTCTTGTCACTAGGGGGAAAAAACACAAACGGGACAAGATGTGTGATTCTCTGAGCATTTTTTTAGTTATTATATAGGTTTTTAATTATTAGGCTTTACTTTACAGTTGAGAATACTGTTATTTATGTTAAAATGTATGCAGCTCATAGTCCAATAAAAAAGATAAAATTAGTATCGATCATTGAGTCTATTTCTTAGTATTCGAATCAAGTTTGTACATTTAGTTTTGTGACAACACTAATTGGCACAGAATCTCTTAAGTGTAAACCACTTTATTATATCAATTACTGAGCTGATGTAACTGTGGTTTAACTGAATGTGTCAGACAACTGGCTTTGTGTGTCACCATTATACAAACAGTTTTTTGTTTGTTTATCTTTGTGTTTTTGTGCAGTTGACCCTTTTCACATTCTTTTCATTCTCCTCTCACAGGCTGAAGAGGGTAATATTGAATACAAAGTAGGTCCGCATGGGTAATATTCATAAACGAAAAAACAGAACACCTTTCTTATTTTGAAATGTAATGTCTAGTTGAAGCTGGTGAATCCAACTCAGTACCGGTTCGAACACCTGGCAACTCAAATGAAATGGCGTCTCCAAGAGGGAAAAGGCGAGGCGGTCTATCAGATCGGCGTGGAGGACAATGGCATGCTTGTGGGACTATCGGAGGAAGACATGAGAGCTTCGTTAAAGACCCTCCATCTAATGGCGCAAAAGTAATCCACTCATATTGATTATACTTTGTTTATGCAGCGCAAAAAGTGCCAGTAGGACAAGTAACATTATCTTGTTTTTAAAAGATTCAAGAAATGTCTCCCTTGGAATGAGAAAAATATGCAACAGTGCTTTGTTCCATTGGTAGATCTTGTTTTGTCAGAATGAACTCAAATTAACATTAAAAAAACGCTCAATTCAAGCCATTATTACATCATATTTTATAATTTTTTGCAGTGTATAAATGAGTCCCTTAGGTTTTTAATGTTGTTTTGTTTTTCCTTGTTACAGAGTAGGGGCTGACATCACTATCCTCAGACAAAGCGAGGTCGATGAGGACTCTGATTGCCCTCGAAGCATTGCTGAAGTTCTCATACGTAAAGTGCCAGACGACCAACAGGTCAGACACCACTCTACTCTTGCTACACAAAATTGCAATTATTATATATCCTTAATGCCTGTTGTCTTTGCACATTTCCTGCATTTGTGCACACCCTGAGAGATCCTATTTATGCCAAATGCAACATTGTACATTTCTCCATAGTGAGATCAAAAAGTCTTATCTTTCCCGCAGTTCTTGGACTTGCGAGTAGCGGTTCTGGGTAACGTGGACTCCGGAAAGTCCACGTTACTGGGCGTCTTGACACAGGGTGAACTGGACAATGGGCGAGGGCGGGCAAGGCTCAACCTCTTCAGACATCTCCACGAAATCCAGACTGGGCGCACGTCAAGTATCAGTTTTGAGATACTTGGATTCAACAGCAAAGGAGAGGTAAGGGAGGAGCTTATTTGCTCCTTTAAGAGACAAAAAAAACATTGCTTGTAGATTTCTCCATTGTGAGATCAATAAAGTATGTCGTATTTTTCCTTTCTTATTGTGTGGTTATGGTTCATTTTTTTCACTCAGGTGGTAAACTACAGTGAATCTCGAACGGCAGAGGAGATTTGTGAAAGTGCCTCTAAAATGATCACGTTCATAGACTTGGCGGGGCACCACAAATATCTGAAAACCACCATCTTTGGCCTCACGAGTTACTGTCCTGATTTTGCGATGCTGGTCGTCAGTGCAAACACAGGCATCGGTAAGAGCTTGGATTATTTTTAATTCCAGAGCAGTACGGTTTGTTTGTGTACACAGACCGCTTTGCATTTCAGTGGATCAGCTGAGGCTTGGCACTCGTACTGTCTGACCTTATGCAACAGAGTGCTCTCGTAACATTAGAATATCTCACATTCTGACCGTTCTTGTCACAGTCCATCTGACCCACAAGACACAGCGATCCTGAGACGTTAACCTGACACTTGCCAACACAAGTAACCGAACGCTCATTACTGGTGCTGACTGCACGCAAAGAGCAAAACATGTCCGGGCCTCTATGTCCCAAAGAAGCCACACCTATCTGGTTTTGCAGCTAACTTCAACGTTCAGAAAGATTTTCAAATAGATAAAATAGGAGAACCTAAAACAACCAGTGTGTGAAATGCATGAATTAAAGTAGTATGTAAAGCAGGTATAATTATCTTGTTTGTCACTGTTCCTTGGCCACATTCCTAATAAATGTTTAGGTCATACATGTGTCCATAAATTTTTTTGTTTAAAACTGCTAGAACCACACAATGATTGTAACTTGTCTTTTCTCGGATGTAGAATCAGAAAAGCTAATTACTATGTATTAACCCTATAGTTTTGTGGCGTATTTTCAATTGAATCCCATTAAATTCAATGTATACTTGTATAGCCCTAAATCACAACAGTAGTAATCTCGGAGAATTAAAGCAGTTCCTGGTCTCCCTTCCGCTATATATGATTGAAGCAGCATTTTATCAGACCCCGATTCAAGACCTGTAGACCATGTAGAATTCAAAAAATTAATGCATTCTGAAAAATGTTGCTCTGAAGAATGCAGGGAAATATGCAAGATATGCAAATATGCATATGCAAAACTATAAAAAACAAATCATTATTATGGAAGAGATTTGTGTAAAACCTGAGGTATTTATCAAATCAGAGTCCAAAGAACCACTCAGGTTTCACATCAGCTGTTTCAGACCACAGCTGATACCAGAGCAGATACCAGAGCTGATCCTGTCCCATCTGAGTGACAGGGTTTGAAGTAGGGCAGAAGTGTCAGCGTGGCCGAGCGGTCTGAGGCACTGTGTATAGGATGCAGTCTACTCTGAATGTGTGGGTTTGATTCCCACTTCTGACAGTCTTTTTGTCACGTTTTCATATTACAAAATGTGCACAAGGGCACGAGAAGCGCTTGTGCTGTCCAGATTTTCAAGGTTCTTTATACCAGTCCCCTAGAGTTAAATGTGTAAATGTGTATCCACTAATCCACTATTTTCAGAGTAATGACTGAGACATTTGTATGACAATATTCAATTCAATGTATTCTTGTATAGCCCTAAATTGCAACTGTATTTATCTCAGAGGAATTAACAAAACCGTTGAGCTAACACAGATCAGAGAATCAAACAGTTCAAACATAAATGATATAGAACACATAGGTCTTGGTCAGTATGACACCCAGATAGGTCTAACCCTAGTCCCAAGCTGTATTTGTTAAAGAGTGACAGCTGATAGCAGTCGACACTTCACAACGATCGTGCCTTTTCTAATCTGGGAACACTTTCCTTGGTTTTACATGTCAGGATGGCCGAGCGGTCTAAGGCGCTGCGTTCAGGTCGCAGTCTCCCCTGGAGGCGTGGGTTCGAATCCCACTTCTGACAAGTTGCTTTTAGTTCTCAGCTACTAGGTCAAGGAGATATACCCCGTATGTTTGAAAAAGCATAACAATGCTTAAGTGTGACATTTCAGGTTAACAGTGTTCCGTCCTCTGAAGTTCTGCCCCCTCCTTTCTGAGTAATCTTTTATTCATTTGTTTTATACATAAGTTTTGTATTTGTTTATTTATGGTTGAGCAAATAAAACGAAAGAACAGGTTGAAAAGTACAAGTGTAGCATTACACCATTGTGACAAGGTTTAGCGACGCTGTTGAGACTTTTGTAAAATGAGAGTGAAAAGGTCCTTAGCTATTTAAAAGTCCAAATGTGTTTAAAAAGTTCTCAGTGTTTAAAAGTACTGTGGTGAAGTTTGAAACCGATTAAAGGTTATAAACTGGAGGGATGAAATTCTGTGAACAAAATGAACTTTTAGGTGTGAAACCTTTGGGGGAAAAGAGGAGACTGCTTTAAGTGACTGCATCCTACGCGGATTACTAAAGTGCACCTTTACATAAGTCTACGTAATCACATGCCGTCATTTCTGATATTTTCCTGATTACAGCGGGTACAACGCGGGAGCATCTGGGGCTGGCCATGGCTTTGAAGGTGCCCATCTTCATCGTCATCAGTAAGGTGGATCTGTGCACACGTGCTACAGTGGAGCGCACGGTCCGCCAGCTCGAGCGCGTCCTGAAGCAGCCGGGGTGCAACAAGGTTCCAATGGTTGTCGCTAATAAAGATGATGCCGTCACCGCAGCGCAGCAGTTTGCACAGTCTCCCAGGTACTTCACCGTCTTCACTATGCTTTTCACAGTTTTACTTCAAAACAATTCAGCAACTTTTTTTTCATTCCAGCATCACGCCAATCTTCACGTTGTCCAGTGTGTCAGGGGAGAGCTTGGACTTGCTGAAAGTTTTCTTCAATATTATTCCTCCTCTAAGCAACAGTAAAGAACAAGAGGGACTGATGCAGCAATTAACAGAGTTTCAGGTTGGTTAAAAAGAAAAGTAATGAACTTGAATTATATTTTACATTTTTAACAAGAAACATAATGACATATGAACGCAGGTGGATGAGATCTACTCTGTCCCTGAGGTGGGAACGGTCGTGGGAGGCACTCTGTACAGGTAACTTCATATTCACAATCATATCTGCTACGTAAAAAAAAACCATGGGGCTGTGGCAGGAGCCCTTGTGTGTACCATCTTCTCTGCCTGGTGAACGCTGAGGTATTCTTGCACAGTTTTTCCAATATTGGTTTACTGCAAATGACAAATAAATTCTTGAATCTTGAATATAATCAACCGTTTGCTCATTATTAGTGGCATTTGTCGTGAAGGGGATGACCTCGTGGTCGGGCCGACAGACGCTGGACAATTTCACAAACTGACAATCGGCAGCATCCAGAGGAATCGCTCGGCATGCAGGGTACTGAAGGCTGGTCAAGCTGCAACACTGGCGTTGGGAGAATTTGACCGCTCATTACTCCGAAAGGTCAGGACTAAAGACTAATGTGTGTATGATTATTTATTTACTTGACACTTAATAAAACATTCTATTCAACAGGGAATGGTGATGGTGAGTCCAGAGATGGATCCTACCATTTGCTGGACTTTTGAGGCTGAGGTTGTGCTACTTTTCCACGCAAAGACGTTCCACAAAGGTTTCCAGGTGACTGTGCACATCGGCAATGTGAGACAAACCGCCATTGTGGAGGAGCTGTATGGAAAGGTCAGACCTGAGTTTATTTCTTCTTTTACTGCTAATTATGTGCAACAAAATGCATGAAAAGTGTATATTCTTGATTTTATAATTAAAAATTTTGTATATATCTTTATCTCAGGAAGCACTAAGGACCGGTGAGAAAGCAGAAGTGCGTTTCAGATTCATCAAACATCCAGAATACCTCAAAGTGGGGGCAAAAATGCTCTTCAGGGAGGGTGTAACCAAAGGCATCGGACACATCACAAAACTGCAGCCCGTTACCCAGTACAAACCATCCCAAAGAGAGGAGGAGGGGGCTTAGCAGCAGCAGCACCGCAGATCTACAACCCAGGCCTGTTGAGAAACCACACAAAAAACCTTTCATATCAATCCGTTTCGGTCATTTTTGCAACCTGTTTCTAAGCTTTACCTGACTGTGATGTTCTACGGGTTAAACGTGTGGCACTGATTGACAATAACACCACCACCTTGCCATGGGAGAGAATGTAGACTGAAGTGGATCTTTTTAGTGGCAGAATTACACTCGTGCACGGTCTACATCTGAATGCACTCCTGAACATGATGCACACTCTGCCACCTGCACTGAACCTTGGATGTCACTCTTTTTTTTTACCACACTGCACCACTTGAAGGCGCTGTTGCCTCTTGTTTTGTAACCAGCCAGTGCCTCAAACAGTTTTAATACTTTCATAATAGAATACATTTTATCTATATTAACTTTAGCTCACATACACCACTGTGTTGAGATATAAGTTGATATAATTCCGTGTCTGTCCAGGGTTCCTTTGTAGGTGGGTTTTCATCTGGACAATGTTTTGGAAATGGTCTTGGAATAGTTCAAAAAGTAAAAAGATGATTACGTTTGAAACCTTTTCTACCATGTTTAGAGTTATATTTGTATTTGCTGACAAACCAGTGTATAAGGAAAGATAAATGTTAAGAGTTATTTTCTCTAACCCCATTTGAGGTCAGTCAGCTGAGATATTTTAAGTCCTTTTTAGGTATTCAGGTTTGCATTTTACTGCCACTTTGATAAACCTTCCCAGTGGAAGCGTGTAGCTAATGTCTTAATTCTATCCGTTTCACAGCAGCCACCTATTGTTACTGATGTCACACCCTCTGCAGGGTTTTACAGTGCCTACTGTTTTATCTTCCAGTTGTAAAAGAGATGTCCTTCTTGGGTTGGTGCTACTTATGGTGTCTGATGTGGGAAATATAATGTTGTAAAGTTTGTTTGGTTTGGTTGTGCCTTAAGTGCATGTTGATCCACCAGATCTGTTGTTTCTACAGATTTGTTCTCAAAGCATTTCAATCAAAGGTTTTGTAGTTTTTTGTCAGATCTCAATGTTTCTGTTGCTGCGTCTGAGAGCTATTTTGTAGTATATTTTAAGAGTGTTCCATATAATTTAGTCTGCTTTTGAATGGAATATCCATCATTTGGGTGAAATGCAATATTTATGTACAGATCTAATTATTGTGTTTGACTGAAGAATATACTTTATGAAAACATTCCTATGTTGTCATGTGATATTTTATTACTAATAACACTTTTTAATGATCCATAATAATGCATCGGTTGTAAATAGTGCTTTTTTATGGAATTTTTTTCGTATCATTCACGGTGATAAATTACTGTAGCCACAGCTGCCCTGGGGCACAGAAGCGAAGCAACCAGTATGGGCTATTGTTCCCTCCGACCACCACGGACCATTCACACACAGACTCATTCTAGACTCACCAGGGCCACCCCTGCTTAGCCTTCACATGCAGGTATGGTCACAATCCAATCAGTGTTCATTTTATAACAATAATATTATTTGGTCAAAGGGTCGTCAACAGATTTCTTTTTACATATTTATTATATTATCCATACATCATTAGTATCAAAACCAGCCCTGGCAAACATGTGAGGGACAACAACAAAATCAGCTTTTTTTGAGAAAAGAATCCAAAGTTCCAGTGTTTCCGCCAGACCGGGGTCGTTTGGCTTGTGGTCCAGTCTGACCTCTGCTCTTTGTTTTCCCAGCTGCTGGCCCTGCTCTGAGGGGGGGCACAAAGGAGGGAGAGGCTGAGAACGAGCTCTGGAGCTCCATTGCAAAGTGAAAGTCTATGTGTTCGGGCATTTCCCAAACCACCACCTCTTTCCCGCACTTTTCACACCGACACAAGTCTTCTTTGTCGATGTTTGCAGAATTGGAAATCAAATCATAATTTCTGTCGTTGTCTAATTGGATTTTGAAATCTTTGGACACTGAATGAAATAAACTTTTGGCCGTCTCGTCTTTAGAATCACAGTTAGAAAGCGGGTCAAGAGGTGGTAATGTGTCTGAGTCCTCTGCAGCACACGGCGGTTGCACACTTCTTTCCATTTGTTTCTTGCTGAAGAAAGAAGAGATGCTACTTTTGGGCTTAGGTGAACCAGAACTGAAACTACTCCTACTTGTAAACACGCCCTGAGACTCAGAGGTTGAGGCTATTTGCGTGGAAGCTTCAGCGTCTTTCTCCTCCTCTTCTTGTGTCTGTTCTGACGGTTGACGTTTATGTTTCTCGACAGATTTTTGAAACAAGGCCTGAATGCTTCCCGCTCTCTTGGGCGCTGTGCTATTTCTCACTTCACAGGGCGCCGGGTTTGTGGATTGTGTGGAGGCAAAAACATTCTGTGAAGCGGAGACATCGCTCGAGAAAAAGCCGGCAATGCCCCCGGACGTGGGTGCGTCGTTGAATTTGCTCGCCGACAGGTGAAGCAAGGTGAGGGGCGGAGTCCTGCAGAACATGTCCAACTTAGACCAGAACAAGACGTTTATTATTCTCCATTTTGATTCACTTACCAGGTTTGTTGTTGGTTTCCTGCTGTGTTGAGGCTTTTAATGATGGCAAAACTATCACTTGAAAGTTTGCCTGCTTCGTAGCGGACCAAGGCACAACAGCGAGAGAAACTGCTTGACCGCTTATCCCCGAGTTGACGTACTCCGACAGTTAGAAGTTTTGCCACTCGACCGTTCTTTAGCAAATTAAAACGATGGTTAAATCATTTCACAGATCCAAAAAAACATGGATTCATATAAGAACACAACAGTCTTACCACATCCCTGTCTTTCGTTAGCCTCTCCTCCAGCTCCAGGGCCAGCTGATGAAGCCAGTATTGCACCTACAAATGTAAGTCACACATCTTGACACTTCATATTATATATTAAACTATACGCCTATCAGTTTTATCTCTTTATTTAGCTCTGTTTTTACCTGCTCCTTTGTAGCCAGTGATGTTTTTCCTGGAAAATTCTTACTGCAACCAATAGACTTGGGCAGCTGCCTGGGCTTCACTGGTTCAAACTCTATCCCTCTGCACAGGTCATAGAGCCACGGGCTGGAAGGAAATGGACATTACTACATCTGTAATGGTAATGTCAAAGACAGAAGGAAGGAACGAGATGTATTCTGCTGATTTAACAGAAATACGACTTAAAGCTGGGATATGTGGTCTGTACCAACATACACATTTTTTAAAATCAATTTTCACATGGTTCTTCAACGTTTGGATAAAGTAAGTGCATGTGAGAAGAAGCCTGAGAGTAACTTTTTACCAGTGGCGGCTGGTGGAATTTTCTACTGGGGGGGCTATGAATATGATGACTAGATATAAATGCACCACAGAATTTGACACTGTCTATTATTTTTGATAGGATGTGCCTATTCTTGTCAACCTCCTCATTGTGCTTTCTGATCCCTACCCTGTAGCTTTCATCCAGCTGGGATGAAATATTTATCTTCCCAAACATAGCTAATTTGAGGGCATTTTGCATGTGGATACCAGTCTGCTCATGCTTCTTTGCCTTTTCTAAAAAGTGCTTCAGATCAGTCATACCTGTCTTGATCCATGCTGGGTCAGATCCTGATGTTTGAAACAAGAGGCATGGAAAGAAAAATAAAGCATTAGCCTCGCTACATGCTGCTAGCCAAGATTTGGCGCTGAACCAGGTCCTGGAAAAAGTACGAGTGTACCGTCTCCCCCTGTCGCTGGACTGCTGACTAATGGTAATATTTGGCTGATCAGGTCCAAGCTCTTTAACCTCAACCTTCTCCTGGTATGATCTTCTCTCAAACGGTATTGTTTTGAGTGATCTAACTGAATTATTCTTTTTCTCGTTCTCCATTTTGCGTCTCTTTACGTTCGTCTCAAACTCCCACAGCTTGACCTGTCAATCACTGTAAACGGACGTCACAGACAGTGACAGTACAGGTCGCGGGCGATCCCGCCCCCTCAGGGCGCACTTCTCCTGCGCCCCCAAATCGTCTTATCTCTTGCATTGAAGAGGAGCTACTGCGCATGTACAACTTTTAACGAGAGTCCATAGACGCCTCAGGGCGCAATCTTTTGCGCCCTGAGGCGGAAATACGTCCTCAGTCCGACACAGACAACGCTGATGAGCTTAATCAATCCAACTCAGCATAAACTATAAAGTATTTCTTCCACATCTGAAATAAAACACACATAAATTTCGAAATATTTTAATGTTATTATTTTTTTTTTAACGTTTTATTCAAGGTAACATGGCAAGTTGTGAGTGGTGGGGCGGTGCCCTAGCGCCCTCTATTGGCCGGCCGCCACTGCTTTTTACACTTTGGCCTGAGAGCTGATTGGCTGAGTGAGGGTGGTCCCCTGTTTTCACTTTTCTGTCTGAAAAAGCTAATTGTGGCGACACCTGCAGGTGAAAGCCAGATCATGTAACTGTCACTGAAGCAAAGCTAGGCAGAGCCTGGTTAGTGTTGTGATGGAAGACATCTGGGAAGACCAGGTGACACAGTGGGGTGGCTGTAAAGTGCCAAACTGCCGTTGTGTCCTTGGGCAAGAGACATCATCCACATTGTTTAGAATGAGTATGTTGTGTGGTGGTCTAAAGGGACATAATTGTTGCCTTTTTTCTGTCAGTGTGCCCCAAGGAAGCGGTGACTACAGTAATTCATCACCACCGAGTATGGAGTGAATGAATAATGACATGTGAAGCGTCTTTGAGTGTCCAAAAAAGCACTATATAAAACTGATTATTATCTGAAAATGTGGCAGAGGCCATAATTGACATGCAAGTGAAAACTACTAAAGAACCAAACTGTTGTCATCTAACTAGTCTGGTTTGAAAATTCGGTACCCCAGCTTTAATGGTAGATTGATAAGATACTTTGGATCCCTATAGGAGAAACGCAAGTGTCCAGCAGCAGAAATACATCCATCCATTCAAACATCATTAAATACATTATTGCAGCATCTTACCCTGTCTTTTCTCCAAAGTGTTGCGCCAGCTGAGCTTGTGAAAACTGTGTGAGGTCTCCCATATTCTCTACTCCCAAGGTTTCAGTAATTGATGTGCCAAGTTTTCCTCCAAGGTTACGGCTAGGTAAACAGAAAAATAAACAATAAATCAGATTTTAAGTAATTATTAGGTTTATTTTACCATAGTAACAAAAACACTCACATTTTGCTGATGTGCAGAGAGTTGAAGAGCTCAGGCACAGACTCCATCGGCAGAATCGTTTGACGATTTGGTTTATTCAGTCCGCATGCTAATTTGGCCAGCACCTGCACATTACAGTACACACCATTATGACCCCCCAGAGAGTATAGGTACAGTAAACAGAAATGATTACAAACCTTATTGTGAGCTATTCCTGCCGAACAACTGAACCCTGTGTCTTTCCCCACCGCAGCTCTCATTTCCTCTACAATCATGGCTCCCAGGGAAAGCTGTGCCTCAGAAGTGCACTGAGAGGTAGTTATGGAAGACAGCCACTGCTCGAGACCTCTGGACCTCTCAGCTTCTGCAAAAACACACATTACATCAACAACAAAGAAGACCAGGGCTGCATGAGTGTGGCAAAAAAAATCTAATAGCACTGCAACTGAAAAACTGCAATATTTGGAGAGTTAGCCAATACAATTCCCACACATTTCAGAAAAGATTTTATCTTAGCCTTTAGTACATTTATCTTGTAGACATATTTCTAAATAAATGTTTAAATGAAGTAGTTATCTTTATTCACTTAATTTGTCTTACGTTAGGACATATGTTGCAACAAATCCAGACAGTTTCGACTTTGTTCATCCATCCATTTTCTTCCCCTTAATCCATTACAGGGTTGGGGGGGGGTGGCCAGAGATGCCACCCTGTACACAGAGCACCAGCCCCTCACTGATCCTTCTGCAGGTGGTGAGCCCACAGGAGGATGGATGCTCTATGGCATACAGCCTTGATCTTTCAGCGGGGGCTTCAGGCAAAGTGGGGTTAAGTGTCTTGCCCAAGGACACAACGACAGCAGACATCAGTGGGAGTCGTTGTGGGCTCGAACCCGCAACCTTCAGGCTCAAAGGCCAATGCTCTACCAATTGAGCCACTGTCGCCCCCTCGACTTTGTTCATTCATTCAAGAATGAATGGAATGAATGAACTAATGCTTCTGCCTGGCATTGGCAAATCAAGATGATTTTCCTAATTTAATAATTATTCGGATATATAATATAGACTTAGTAAATTAATAATGATATTAATATGTTGCAGTCTTTGCGATTTGCCAGTAGGAGCCACTAAAATGCGATGTTTCAACTGCAGCCTTATCTGACATATTGTGGCTTTAGTTGCTATACCTTTGTCTTGATCCGGGGCTGAACCTGACTCCTCCTCTGGAGCGTTGTGTGGGTATCCCTGGACGTAGGTGGTCCGCAGGAGACACGGGTCAAATTGCTTGTCCGCCGTTTCCTTCAGTCGCTGTTGGACCGCAGAGGTGAGATCCATGTAGGCCTCATCAATACTCGCCCGCTCAATAACAGCAAACCGGGACATCACTTCAATCACCTCCACACTTGCTTCCCTATAACTGTATTACAGACAAGTTCAACATTTGAACAACTTCAATTGTATTTATTTTTCAAACACATGTATATTTCTTAACCATTGTCAGATACTTTCTTAGTACCTGCTTTTCCCCGTTTCAATCCAGGCTGAACTGACACTAATGTGTTCTAACTAGACAGAGAATGGCCAGAGCACTGCTGGAACCATGGTTACCAAGGAATTTCCCCAGATACTGGTTTGTTGTGGGTAGGTTTCTGGGATTTGTTACCAGCCACTTAAGTGTAATGGAAACACAGCCAGGTAGAGTAGAGCCAAGTAGAGGCTGGTTGAAACGGGGCTTATGACCAGTAAGATTTACTTGAGGAGAGAAGTTAAACCAATGACGAGGGGCCTCAAGAATATGAATTATGGAATCAGGAAGCTGCAGATATGATTTTAATTCACTGTATGAATCTTACTGTGTGAGATCTGCCTTGCCGTGAGACTCCCGCACTCGGGCCACCTCCAGTTCTGGGCATAGCTTTTTAGCGTCGTCCACCCACATGTTCCTGGTGACACCGTGGGCTCTGGCCTCATAACTCACAGCGATGATTCTGTGAAAACATCAGTTATTAACGGGCCGCAGACCGCCAACCGTGTTCAGTAGTGGTCAATACAAAAGAGCAGTACTTAGTAAACAATTTATTAACGGCCGCAACAAAGGCCATCACAAGGAGATGGCTTAAGCCTGAGTCCAGCCATATTAGGAGGGTGGATGGTGTACCTTTGCTTTCAGAGGACATCTTTGAGGACAAATGGGACGTTAGACTTTGAAAATCTCATGACTTGCACAAGATGTGACTGATGTCTGACTACTACATTGTGGCTGAGCACACAATGTAGTAGCACTCTCGCTTCTCAGCAAGAAGGTCCTGGCCCGGGTTTCGAATTCTGGTCGGAACAGGGCCTTTCTAAGTGGAGTTTGCATGTTCTCCCCATGTCTGCGTAGGATTCCTCCTCTGTACAATAGGTCTGGCATGCACCTCCTGTACTGGCGACCCCGCTCCCATCTCTGTGTGCAGTGAGAGGACAAATGCCCAAAAAATAACAATTGTAAACCGCTTTGTGACTCTGGCCTGTGAAAGGCGGTATATGAATAAAGATGAGATGAGAGATACGTTGGAATATGGATTACAATTGGCCCAAAAAGTTGTCTATGGTAAAATTTTCAACAATTATGACTGGTGTCTTACTTATCTGTTTTGCTCATGTTTTCTGTCAAAAGTAAAATAACAAATTATCACATTTATATCACACAAACCGAAGACACAACATCTCCACGGAAAACATACGGGTAGCGGAGCAGGTCATAAAAGTTGCGTAATGCAGTTTTAATAAGACGTAACATAAGCTGTTCTCAATTCTACTTCATCCAACAACCTACCTCTCTCTGATGACCTAGTGAGAGTGTTTTAAATGTAAGTTAAGCTGCTTTACTTTGACTTTACCTGTCATAAACACTCACCCGCCTCCCTTCCACGTCTTGTACTGGGCCACCACACAGGGCTTGTTCGCCAGGGCAGGGTTCAGCCGCTGCTCCACCTGCACGTAGAAGCAGTCCATGTCCACCAGGGCGACCACCCGCTCCTGGCCGTACTCCATCACTCCTCTACACACCCAGGATGTCAGGGCCAAAGCAGCGGGCACTGATCGCTGTTTTTCCGCCTCGTTTCAAGCAGCGGTGTTATGTAAAAACGTCATCAATGTGAGACGGAGGTGACGTCATAGGCTGTCGCTAAAGGTGTAGTTTTTTGGAAAGATAAATGAGGAAATGTAGTTCAAAGCTTCACACTCTTTATGCCACAGATTAGTCATAGGTTTTTCTTTTAACAAAAGGCTATGTTTTCATGCATGTGTTTGTATTAATAAAGTGAAGATTATCAGACTAGATTCAATACATTCTTTGTTCAAATGTTAATGCTATTATTTTCATTTATCTGTTTTATGCATAGACTGTAATATGCTTAAAAACGAATAGTTCTACGTCATGGTGCTACGTCCCTTAGGACTTCGCTAGTGGGATATCACGTGACCCCCAGGTCACATGCCAGAGAGATCAAATAATTTGCTCCAATCACTAGCGACCCTCCTCTATAAAGGCCCCTGCACAAGGCCGCACCCCCTCTTTCACTCTGGCGCCAATTGAGATCTACCACAGTATTTACTTCATTCTGAGAGATGTCTTCCGTTGTTTGTCCGAGTTCCCCTTCGCCCTCCGGCGTCGGACGTCGTCGTTGCCCGCGGAATGGGGTGACTGCGAGGATGGAGAGGCTTCGGAGATCGGCTCTCTCCTCACCCTGGACGAGGTGGTGTCGAACCCGGAGCCGGACCGCTTTCCGCTGGACCACATGCCTGGGCTCTACTCCTCCGCGGCGGCCATCATGGATGCTCCTCTGCCACCGCAGCCGACCCAGAGGGCGGAGGACTTCACCTCTGTGGGCGCTACCACTCGAGGAAGGAGGAGGATGCAACCCACGTTGTGCCCGCGGATGGACCCGATTGTCCATTATGCGACACGTGAGTGGCCAAAGCCCCTAGCAGCCAAGAGGCCTGCTCTGGGATACGGCATGTATTGCAGCGTGCACGACTGGTCCTGGTCCGGTGGTGTCCCGGACATCGAGGATCCAGGCCGCATGGCCCTGCAGCCCTCCGCATCCGTGTGGCCCGGCACCAGACCTCTCCTTCCCTCCGAGCGGGACAGGATATCTTTGGCGATGCTGGATAGATGTTATGCCAATGCGGCACAGGTCGTCGCATTGGCTAACAACATGGCATTCATCACGGGGGCCCTGGATAGGTCGCTCTCCTCTGGCCAGGCGCTCAGTGGAGACCTCCTGTCACAGGCAAGGACCACTTCAGCGGCGATCCTGCGCATGTGCCAGGCGCTAGCCGTGGATGGCGGCCGCTCCATGGCAGCAGCCCAAGTCGGGGCCAGGCACCTTTGGCTTGGGCTGGCTAATATCAAGGAGGCGGAGAGGAGGCAGCTGCTGGACCTGCCCGTTTCCCAGACGTCCCTCTTCGGCCCGGACATGCAGGCCCTGGTGGCGAGACTGGAGTCTGCAGCCAACGACTCGGCTAGGCTAGCCCCGCACCTAGCACCGAGGCGCGAGGCCCACCAACCATCACGGAGCCGGGACAGAGGCAGAGAGCGTTCGCCCGGGAGGCGTCCTGACCCGTATCCGCGCTCTGTGGTCCATCGTCCCCCCTCAACGAGGCCCCCGGGTCCAGACAGACCCACGGGTGGCTCGCGGGAGCAACGCACCCACCGCCGGCCTCCCTATGGTAGAGGAGGTTGGGGTGGAAAGAATTCTTTCAATAAAGGCCGATCGGCATTTCATCAGTACTCGTTGTCTGAGTCTCATTTGGGGGTATGTAACATGTCTAATGTGAAATCTGATTGTGTTACTTCCCGGGCCCATAACGTTGCTCCGCTAGGCCTGCAGCCCCCAAAGCAGGGTGTGCAGTGCGCTACGCGAGCTACGAGCTCCGGTTCTCTGGTTCATGCTATGCCCTCCCAGAGAGAGGTCAGGCGGAGGGATCTGGTGAGTAGTGATGTGTGTGCTTCGGCCGAACGCGTGCTAGCCCCTCTGAGCTACAAGGCTAACACGGGGTTTCCCACTCCAGGGGCTCGCCCCCCCCCTCCATGAGGCAAGAGCCAGGGGGGGGCGCAGCAGTCGAGTCACGTGGTATGAGCAGACCCGTACTTATGACGTCGGGCCTGCAGGACACGTGACCGCCCCCGGCGCACACGGCGTCCACCCCCCCTCCCTGCTAGGAACACCAGGAGTGTGGGCGGGGCCGTGACGTCTCGTGTTCCAGCTTCCGTTCCGCCCCTCACAGACTTCTACAGCATCTGGAGGGAGCAGGGCTTACTGACGGATCCATGGCTGGAGAAGACATTGCGCAGGGGTTACGCACTGCAATTCTCCCGAAAGCCACCACCATTCCGAGGCGTACGGGCAGCACGCTCTCAGGTACGGGGATCATTAGTGGCACTACAAGCGTAGGTCTCCTCTCTGCTGAGTAGAGGCGCAGCAGTGGAGGTAGACCCACAGGACGCCACCAGGGGGCTGTACTCCCCTTACTTCTTGGTGCCAAAGAAGTCAGGAGGGGTGCGTCCCATTCTGGATCTGCGCACTTTGAACGAGTGCATTTCCATTTCCATTCCGTGCTGCATTGTCTGAGGACAGATGGAGGAACATTACCCGTCTGGCCAGGGAGGTTCTGGCGGGCCCCAGGGTCCCCGCTCGGCGCCTCAGGTCCCTGCTGGGGATGATGGCGGCGGCTCATGCTGTGGTGCAGCTAGGACTTCTCCACATGAGGAATTTTCAGAGGTGGTTCTCACGCCTCAGGCTTCACCCCTCCCGGGACGGGGGGAGGCTTATCTGGGTTCCCCGAGTGGCAGCATCGGACATCAGGTTTTGGCTCACTCCGGGTCTATTGCGGGACGGAGTGGCTCTGGCCTGCGCCGTGTCTCACGTGGAGGTGTTCACGGACGCCTCACTCGAGGGTTGGGGCGGGGTCCTCGGCCAGAGTTCTGTAAGAGGCTGCTGGTCGGACTCAGCCTGCCACATCAACCTTCTGGAAATGGAGGCAGTACACAGGGTGCTGCTGCACTTTGCTCCTCAGCTGCAGGGGAGACACGTGATGGTGCGCTCAGACAACACCACAGTGGTGTCTTATCTGAACAGGCAGGGGGGCACCAGATCCCCCGCTCTCCATCGCATGGCAACGGTGATTCTGCTATGGGCAGAACTTCACCTCCTGTCCCTAAGAGCACGCCACGTCCCGGGTGCCCGGAACGTGGGGGTCGACAGGATGTCCAGGGGGGGCCCACTCCAGGACGAGTGGGGCCTGGCCCCGCGGATATCTGCAGATATCTGGCGGAGGTTCGGCCGTCCAGGGGTCGACCTTTTCGCCAGTGCAGAGAACGCACAGTGCCCGTCCTGGTACGCCTTAAGGGCTGCGGACGAGCTGCCCCTAGGGGTGGACGCCATGGCTCACTACCCGTGGCCAGGGGGCCTGCTGTATGCGTTCCCACCAGTTCGTCTCCTGCCGGTCCTGCTGCGGAGGATCGAGCAGAAGGGGAGATCGGTGATCTTGGTGGCTCCGGACAGCCCGCATGCCCGGAGGTTTCCCTTCCTGAGGGGCATGTCGGTGATGGACCCTTGGGCCCTCCCGGACGAGCCGGGGGCTTTAGTCCAAGGGGCAGGGGCCCTGTTCTCACGCCCGTTTATCGGCCGCAGGCTCTGGGCTTGGAGGTTGAGAGGCGGAACCTCGTAGACCTGGGTCTTCCTCCGGCGGTGGTGGAGTCTATTCAGGGGGCGAGGGCGCCGTCCACGGTGAGAGCCTACGACACCAGATGGAGGCTCTTCAGCGTCTGGTGCAGTGCTCGTTCTTGAGATCCCAGGCACTGCCCCTTGGAGGGAGTCCTGGGCTTTCTACAGGAACTCTTTGAAAAAGGGAGGGCTGTCGGTACCCTGGCGGTGTTCGAGGCAGCCATCACCTCGGGTCACGGTGGCTTCGATGGGTTCACGGCCCGTTCTCATCCTTTGGTGAAACGTTTTTTTGCGGGGTCCCGCAGGAAGAGGCCCCCGCTTCAGAGAACGCCCCCAGTGTGGGACCTCAGAGTGGTCCTTAGGGGTCTGTCGGGCCCGCCCTTTGAACCAGTGTCGGAGGCGAGTCCCGAGCGTGTTGCTTTTAAGACTGCCCTCTTGCTGGCGTTGGCGTCTGCTAAGAGGGCGGGCGAATTTGTGTGCGCTCTCCATACATGCGTCTTGTCTGTCCTTTAGAGAGGGGGACGGGCTGGTAGAGTTGTGGCCCAATCCGGCCTTTCTCCCTAAGGTCATTACTTCGGCCTTCAGGTCGAGAGTGATCAGGATTAGGGCTTTCCATCCGCCGCCGCACTCCTCCCCCGAGGAGGAGCGACGGCACCTGCTGTGCCCTGTCAGAATGCTTAGGCATTACCTGACCTTGACATCTTCCTTCAGACAGGTGGATCAGCTGTTTGTGTGTCTGGGCCCCAAGAACAGAGGTGCCCCGCTGTCGTCTCAACGTCTGGCACACTGGGTCGCTTCGGCTGTACGGATGGCGTATCAAGCTCAGGGCCTGACGCCCCCGGTGGGTTTTAGGGCGCACTCCACGCGTGGAGTGGCGGCTTCTACGGCCCTCCTTAGGGGGGCTTCGGTGGAGGACGTTTGCCGTGCGGCTTCTTGGGCTTCGTCCTCTTCCTTTGTCCGGTCTTACCTGTTGGATGTGTCGGACCGGTTGGTGGCTCATTCCGTGCTTGGTGCAGCGGACTGATTGGAATCATGGGTTCTTCGTCTATGAGATTACGGTTTGCCCTTCCGCCCTAGTTCAGGAGCTCTTGGGAGAGGCGTCGTGGGACTACGGGTGATTTTTGGTCTGTGTTACTTGGGGGTGTCCTTGTGAGGAGCGGCCCCATAACACGCTTGGATTTGGTTTCTGTCCTGAGTCTTCTCACTGTGTGAGGGTTGCTCGGACGGGGCTCCAATCACTCTTCGCTGGCCTGCTGGGAGTACATATTCCTACGGCCTCCGCGTTGTGTCCCACTAGCGAAGTCCGCTAAGGGACGTAGCACC